AAGATGCTTATGAAAATCATGTTCAGGAACCTCACATTAATAAATTATCATTCCTACCATACTGATTAGCAATCATTTCCTTACCCTCACCTCAGCACTTCTAGCAAGAGTACCATAATGCTGTTCCTAAAGGCAGTGGCCAGCAGAATCCAGACAGACAACTATCTCAACAGTGGCCAGGAAATAAGGGGGGAGTTCTCTTCTTTGTTGCCACTGTATTTTGTATAAGTCTGCATCATAGCTCTTTCCATACTAAATGGCAATTATGCATTTTTATGCCTGGCTCTGCTGCTCGTCTCTGAATTCTCTGACAGGTTAGGGGTAGAGTTGTATCTTATCTAACTTTGCATCCCAAGTAATAAGCACTTAGTAGGGGCATAGTAGGCTCTCAATAAATGTTTATTATACAATGCTTAAAAGAAACCCTTCTCTGCAAGAGCTTTGGAACGAACTCTACATTTCAAGTGTATTTGAGTTCCAATGTGTACTCATGAGTAATAGTCCTATCACTGTATCAAATAGAAATGAACTGACTTGAAAGAGTTTGGCATCAGCTACTGAGTTATACTAACTCACAGAACTAAGGCCAGAAAACATGAGATGCTTTGGGATGTGCTACTATTCTTTTCCTCAGTAAATGTACTATGCTAATTCTATGCAACTGAAGTTTTGTTACAAAACACTTTGCATCTTATAAGGAACACAACTGAACGATTACTCTCTTCTACTCTCAGTGACCTTGCATAGAAAGACTTCCTTCTGAAAACATAACATTAGAACTGGAATCTCAGTTGACTGTTTTAAATTCTAGAAGTCTGGGGAAACAACACACCTACTGGACTGCTTCATATCCCCTGTAACTAACTAAACTATTAACTCTACTACCCTTTACATAACTACCAGTTAACCTGAAATTATGATTTTCTGTTATTCAAAAGCTAAATTCATACTATCGCAATTACTTTACAAAACAGTTAGGTGATGTGTCAAGGGATTAACTTTTGGATTACTAATAAAGTTCCTGATGTAATTACTGGGACAATGTTGAGAATCTGAACTACTTCCTTCACCACTGACAAAGAAAGAGTGCTTGTAAGGATTGCTTCTACACTACACAATTAAATAAAATATATTTTCAATTAGTAATGATCAATTCCTCTTATTAATGTGTAATAGAATAGTAACAAACATACTGAACTCTTTTATAATGATTTATGTAGTTTCCCTCCACAAAGCCCACAGAACAATTTTCATCGCTGACAAACAATGAAGACAAATGAGGTAAAAACCATACAGTGCACCTTTGCCAACACCCACACCCTCATTCCACTAAGTAGAGAATTGAGATAATCAATTTCCTTGAAAGTCAAGTTTCTCAAATGAAGAGGCTAAACCCAAATCCACAAAAGGGTTAATAAAATAAACGATGGCAGAAGCTTAACTATTAAATACCCATCTATTTTACCATAACCCATGGTGAAATAAGTAAAAGTAGATAAAACTTGGGTTAACAATCAGTTACAGACCAAAATTATGGACATATTTTTTAATGTTTCAAAAAGAATAACTTTATATTAACTATAGCTCACCACTTCCTTACATAAATCTTGTTCATGTGATGTTCTGTACAAATTCTGACCACTCAAAGAAGGGGGTGGAGTGGGAGGAGCAGCTCCCTGGCAGAATCTGACCCGTTTTTTGTCCACTCATGTAACAGATAAATGAGAGGAAAACCTTGCATTCCTTCTCTTATACCCAAATAATGATTTCAGCAGTGAGTGACCTTCAATTGCACACACTTTCGAAAAGGAAAGACAGCTAGTATTGTGCCTGCCAAATACATGCAATTTTTCCAACTGCATGCTCCTCATTCTTAAGTATCCAATGCTAAAAATCAAAACCTGACCTCAGCAGCAAGTTGCAGTTCTGACACTATGACGTCATTCTGTCTGGAGCACTTTAATATCACAATTTGAATAAATTGGCAGAAGCTTAAGTAGGTCACACTGAAGCCCAAAACTAAGGTATTTATCTGGCAAAAATATTCTGGCTCTGCAGTTAGCACCACCAGCCACAGAATGACAGACCTATCATTCATCTAACCATCTGTACTTTCCATAAGGATAAATGAAAATAAAGTAAATCTTATCACAGTCCTATATTTGCTAATACCACTGACAGTGGCTTTTTGTGGCAAATATTTAAAGTACACAGTTACAAACCAAAGTAAAGGTGACTGATACCATTTGATTTCATGAAGGCTTTGGCATATCCCTGCAAAATAATACTTTTTAAACCTCCATTTCCGCAATAATTAAGTTTTCAAGAACCCTGAGTCAAGTAAGTTTAGAATTAGCCCCAAATATCTATGAAATAAAACCATAAGGTGCTAAAAACATTTACCAACACATTAGGGGACAGTACTATTGCTTCAAAAGCAAGAACTATTAATTCTGGATCTGACATCTGGCTTCATTTCTTCTTGTGAAATTGTAGTTCTGAAAGCAACATGCAGAAACCACAGTGGTTTCTGATACTCAGCCCCACACCTCCATCATAAATTTTCCTTTCACGATAAACAATGTGCAATCAAAAGGTTTCCTGTTTCAAAATGGAATAGATGAAAGTAACTATAACTTTACCATTAACAACAAAAAAAGTTTCTTAATGAAGATGATTTCTCAAAGATGAAAATGGAAATTCTCTCAAATACTGCTTCCTCACTTAGGGATTAATCTTTTTCCCCTGTAAATATTCTCAGCATCACACATTGTGGTTGTCATGAATGGTCCATCAAAGACTTCTTAAATTACCTGTTTGCACTCTTTTGTTATCTAATTAATAGCAACACAACTTCACACTGGATAGAACAAACACTTCCAAAGTATTCTATGGCCATGCATCTGACAAAGAGCAACCAACAGTAAAAAATTTGCATATCTGAGTCCTATAGAGGAACTTTGAACCTTGAAGAGTAGGACAAAAGGGGGGGGAAAAGTCTCTGCTCTGAATCCAACTTTTCAAAACACAGAGTGGATGTTAAATAAACTAAAAGAGCCAATCCAAATGAAAAGATTGTTGCCGTAACAATAATTATTATTAATTACCAGTATAAATAAAACTGAAGAAACCATATCCAGGGTGACTAGGTCTACGTACAGGCACAGTCAGACAGAACTTACCACTTTGTCCATGAGTTTCCAAGTTTTCTCCACAGTTCTGCGATCGGCTGCTGCTTGCTTAGGGGGTCCAACTGCATCTTGAATAGCATCAATAATGCCCAAAATGCGTCCTTTTCGGGGGTTTCCTCCACGACCACCAGGGTTTCTGCCATTCATAGAATTCGCCATCTGGAATCTCAGTTCTTCAAGAGGAAATTAAAAAAAAAAAAATTAGTTGGCCATGAAAATACCCCAAAGAAAACTGACCTGGTTAACTTGCACCCCACTATACCTTCCTACATCCGTGAGAACAAAATCCAGGGTCCCAGATGCAACTTTTCAAAAGTGTGCGAATTTGCACTCTCAATTTCTACACACCACCGTTTTAGGAGCCAAGAGCCTGGATTTGCATCTGGAACACTACGAGTTAAAAATGCATCCTTCTCACATTTCAAGTAGGGAAGGCTTGATTAATACCCAAGTCATAACAACAAAAAAACTTACAGGGGTTTCCTCCAACTAGCGGAGAACATAATGTTCTCCCCCTCTCTGCCTCAATTCCCACTCAAAATACTAGAACTGAAGCCCCTGGAAACATGTGTGAGAGCCTTACTCCAAAACCGCCCTTTCAGTCAGATTTTACCAAGTTACATAAACGTAAAGATTTTTCTACAGAAGCATAAGGGGCACGCATGTCTGTTGTCAACAAAGGCTCCGAACTTGGATATTCCCCGTTAAAAACCACCAATCACTGACACCTGAACAAGGGTACGCGAACACACGATTCTTTAAACCTACGCTGCTAAGAGTTCACCCCAAGTTAAGACCCTCCCCCCCAACCCCCCCCCCCAAAAAAAGAACAAGAAACAAACAACAACAAAAAAAAATCCATTTTCAAAGAGAGGGTGAGAAACTGACAAGAGCGGCCACAGAAAGAAAAGAGTTCACTTCTTTCGCTCCTTGTCTCTCCTCTCACTCAAGGGGGGTGGGGGTGTCCCAAGCTTTGTTTCGGGGCGCCTGTGCCCCCGTCCCTGCTCAGGGTCCTCGCCTGTCACTGCCGGACCTTGGCTGGGAGAGGAGGGCGGACAGAGAAGGGACAAAGTCGCCCCTGGCGCCTCCAGTGCCCGCAGCCCCATCGGTCCAGGGCGCTCGGGAGTGGGCTCCCCAGTGCACGCACCTCCCCGGTCGCCCGCAATCCCAGCCGCCTGTCGGCTTTCCTCCCTCCTCTTCCTCCTCCCGGGCCCGGCCCGCGTTCCGGGCTTTAAATACCCTCTTCAGGCTGCGCCGGCGGCGGCGGCGACAGCTGGGACCGGGGCTGCCCCCTCTTCCTCAGGGGCCCGCGCCTGGCTGCCTCCGGGCCCCCGGGACAGAAAGAAACGTCGAGCCTCCCCGGCGGCCCCCTTCCCGCCTGGCCTCTCGGCGCCGTCTCTGTCCCGAGACACGCGTGTGCACGAGTCCGACTCTACACGCGCGAGCCCACGGTGCGTGGGCAGCCCGGGCTGGCAACACCGGCGTAAACGCCAGCTCGCGAGGAAGGAGCCACCCGGAGCGGCAGCCAACGAGACGGGGAGACGCAACAATTACCGTCAAGACCAATCCACACCCGCTCGGTCCTCCCGCCCGACTCGGGAGGCCGCGGGACGCCGCCGCGGCACTAGCGGGAGGAGGAGACCACTCGCTGGACACTCCACCCCTGTACCCTACACACACGGAGACGGGGCGCGGGGCGGGACCAGGGGCGGGGCCGCTGCGGGCTGGACCAATCCCGTCGGCCGGTGCACTGCCAGACAGCGCGCGGCGCCAATGGGCGGGAGGTGCCTGTCCTCTCCCCGCCACCCGGTCCACGTCTTCCACGGTACACAATGGCCCCGAAGGAAGGACCGCTGGCCGCCCGGCCCAAATGAAAAGGGGACTCCGAGGCAAATGGGTAGGCTGGTCTCACCCGGGAACAAAAGTGGAAAAGGGAAAGGAAATGGAAAAGATTCAAGGCACTAGGGAGCTGACCAATAGGGAGTGGGCCGGTGGGCGTGAGCGTTGGGAGCTGGAGCCCAAGCCAACTGGGGCTAAAAGGCGGGACTTCCTGCTTTGCTCACCTTCCTAGTCTTTTGTTTCATAGCAACGGAGTAGTGCCCGAGAGGGTGTTGCTGCTCTATCCTGGGCGTGTCCCAGGCCCAAGAATTTCAGTTCCCTAGGGCTGCCAAACTCTCCTCCCAGGACAGCAGCCAGGTTGCATTGCTTCTTGTTGGCTATCAAAAAAGAGCCACAGTCACCCAGCTTCGAAGATGAAGTACAGAGCTCACGTAGAGTAGACTATGATTGCCAAACAAAACTTCCTACATTTCTTTTTTTTTTAAATACATTTTATTGATTTTTTTACAGAGAGGAAGGGAGAGGGATAGAGAGTTAGAAACATCCATGAGAGAGAAACATCAATCAGCTGCCTCCTGCACACTCCCCACTGGGGATGTGCCCGCAACCAGGGTACATGCCCTTGACCGGAATTGAACCTGGGACTCTTGAGTCCGGAGGCTGACGCTCTATCCACTGAGCCAAACGGGTTAGGACAAAACTTTCTACTTTGTTGAGTGTTTTCCTGTTAAAGTGAATTCTGGAGGGATTGCAGATCAAATATCAGGCTAATGAGAAAGCAAATAGTTAACTACACTGGCCAAGCAGTCTCCACTAATCATGCCAGGGCAGAGAAACAGATCATGGGAATTGCTAATATATGCCTTACCCCTTTCGTTTACTAGAAGTTTCTGCATAAGCTACTGAAGAGGAAACAGCTTTTGTAATTTTTTCCAGTCACCTTCACTCTATGTAGGTTTCTCTTCATCTTAAAAACAAACCTGTCAAAGATTCAGAAATTGCCAAAGTAAAACCAGTGAATCACTGAAGTAGAAGTTGGTAAAAATTTGTTATGCACACCCCAAAAAAACAGTTTGCAAACTGGGAACACTCAAACCAAAGCATGGGATGAGGCTTGGGGCATACCGCTACAGAGCAGCCTATATAATGAGAGAGCAGTGTCTTCACAGTGAATGGTAATTAAGCTAAATTAATGACTAAACTGATTTTTGTCTTCTTAGGGAAGCTTCAAAGCTATTCTCCATTTGCTTTTTTATTTTAACACACCTTATTGTATCTGCTGTTCTCTCCCAGCATTTGTATTCTCTCTTTCTGTGACTCCATATACCATTAGAAAGGCCCACATCTGGCTAGTCTTACAAGGAAAAAGCTACTGTGCTGGAACTCTTCTTTCAACAAGATTATAGATTAAACGCATGCCTTCTATTTTTTTTTTCTTCTATTTAACTTCAATCCTACCACTGGTGCTACTAAAAATTGCCATAGATTGTCATGCTTTGGAATTTTCTTTCCACTACAATTGGTAGTCTTAAATAAACTTTGCACTGTGGGCTTCTCAGATGTTGTGATATATATTCTTTCTCTAAACTGATAAAATGTTTCTCAATTGTTCTAACCACTTTCTACCTAAATAATCAGTTTAGTACTGTGATTATTACTATCAAGGATCCTGAGTTCTTATAAACATACTTTACAGCCCTAAATTCAGATGATTAAGATTTGCATTTGATTAAACAGGCAAAACGTGTTCTTTGCAAGTAGTAAGATGATAAAATGTGGTTTGGGAAGTAATTTTGTTTCTTTGCCATTATTTCTGTGCCAATAATTACAGAGTAGTTCCTTGTTTTCACATTGTGTTTATCTACAAAAGTACTGGTCTCTCCATATCTCCTCTACCCATACATATCTCCTTTACTCTTAGTAACAGAAACTACATTTACTAAGGGAAGATTGCAAAAGGAAAAAAACACATATTGGATCACTGTTTAAATCCAAGAAATATATAAACTGTATGTAGAAAGTTTTCAGAATGTACAAAAACAGTGGCTTAAGGGAATATTATAAGTATATTACTCATATTTATATTTAGATAAATGTAGAATAAGTAAGATACATGTGATAGCAGTGGCATTTCTTTTATATTACTTTTGCAACTGAAAGAAATAAAAATTACATGGGATATGGTGATACATATATGTATATACATGCACGTACAAAACACACACAGAATATCAAGAAATTACAGCTTCATTCTCAACTAACTATTTTATCAAAGCCATCTAGAGTCCAAGTTAAGTTCTGGAGTAGCAGGGTTTCCATTTGAGCCCAAAGTCTGGTTTAGTTACGTCTGATGAACTAATGAGACAGTAATCTTCCCTGCAAACTATTAGCATGAGTTAACGCACATGGGGAAATAAAGAACTGTTGAGATAAAATTTCTTATCCCAGGTGTCTCCAGTGAAGACACAAAGGATAGAGCATAAAAAAGGAATGTATATTAAGGGGCTATAAAGAACATATAGAAATGGTTTCATTAGAGACTTTGTGATACTCAGAGCATAAGCAGTAGCACATCAAGGTAACAGAGTTTGCTAGAGAAATGCAATCCTCATTTCTAAAAAGAAAAAGTCAATTTCCAACAGGGTCTGGTTTAGCATGAAAGTAGCCTCCTTTGGTAGCATGGTGATTTGTAGCCTACAGTGAACTTGGACTTGGCATTTTTATAGGAGAGAAGTGTTCTCCTGGAAGATCCTTACATGCAGCAGAATGATGAGACAGTTTACCTAAGAGCCTTGCAATCACCATAGCAGGCAGTAGGTGATTAATATGAACAAAATGATCATAAGCACATGTGATACCCTTACCCCAGAACTCCCAAAAAAGATTGGGAGATTTTGTGGCAGGGCTACTGAGAAATTTTGTAATGGTATCTATAAAACCCTGTAATTTGAGCATTAATACTTGATATTAATATTTATATTCACAGAAAATGCAGATGATTATAGTCTTTAAATACAGGGGAAAAAATGTTTAGAAGAACACAACTATTTGGGAAAATATTTAGACTATTTTCATTCCATTCAATTTTTCTTTCTTTCTACTTTCTCCAAACTCACAGGTGACTCGTGTGATATTGAATATGAGTTGACTAAATAGCAAAGCATTCCAATAATTTATTTGATCCATAAAAGCTAGTCAAAAAATATTTGCTGAATGAATAAATTGGCTATTTAAGGATATTGCCTAGGAAGCATAAGCTGTCTCTGTTTCTGTCCAAATTCACATACTAAAGAGAAATAAGAGCATTATTACCTAATCACATTTGGGTTTAATGAATCATTCCATGTTAAGAGTAATAAATTTCTAACTGTCCTTAACAATACATACTAATAGCTGCCAGTGAAAGATGTTGATCTATGGATCCATCAGATATAACCACACTCTGTGTATTGGTTTGGGCTCAACTGGAATTCTTGCTTAACAATAACTACAACACAAAAATAACAATGACTTAAGATAGAATCTTACCCTTCTCACACATAGAAAACCTATGAAATGGTGGCTCCATAATTTCCTCCTATATCATCCCAGCACCTGGATTTCTACCCTCAGAATCACCTTATATTCCAATATGGCTGTTGGTGGTCCAGCTCTCACCACTGATTTTCAGGCTAAAGGTTAAAAGGAAAAGTGGAAGGGCATATTGCATTTCCAGGTAAGTCAATTCTCTTTAAGCAATTTTTCAGAAAACTCCCACAAATATTTACCTTTACTATCTCAAAGCCAGAATTCAGTTCCATGGCCAAACTTAGCTGCAAAAATGCCTGGAAGACAATGTGCTTTCTATTTGGGGAAGCAATATAACCAGCTAAAAATCTGGGTTTTGTTTCTATAGAGAGAGGAGTGAATAGATGTTTGGCAACAAACTAGCAAATCCTACCACAAAGATCTTGTTCTACAAATTAAACTTATGATTAATAAGTCAGTTACTATATATCATATAGAGAGTAAGTTATCAGTTCCCTAACAGATACTAGCATCTGCTATTACCAGACATATATATATATATATATATGCCTAAAGTTTGTCATATATGCAGTAAATTATATACAATTTCTTTACAGCATGTGGGCTCAGTAATCCTAAACAATTCAATATCATCACAGGGTGCAAAATTAAGTAAGCAACTGCCTTAATACTTTCCATCCTAAAGTTTATATCAGATTAAATAATTATATATCTGAAAAAAAAATCTTTATAATCACTTCCTTGTGATTTTTCCCTAGGCAATTAATTCCAAGATAATTATTTTCCAGATAATTATTTATTTGGCAGTTGTTCTTTGTAATAAAAGAATTTATGCTAAAAATAGATACTTCAAATTTTGGAATAAACTTACTACTTTGTCTCAGGTTTGTATTCCTTTGTACCTCCATTGCATTATTCATGTTTCATATTACATTTTCTTTCTTTTTTTTAATATATTTTATTGATTTTTTACAGAGAGGAAGGGAGAGAAACATCGATGAGAGAGAAACATCGACCAGCTGCCTCCTGCACATCCCCCACCGGGGATGTGCCCGCAACCCAGGTACATGCCCTTGACCTGAATCGAACCTGGGACCTTTCAGTCCGCAGGCCGACGCTCTATCCACTGAGCCAAACCGGTTTCGGCTCATATTACATTTTCCATGTTCACTTAACAAAACTTGATTCAGAAAAATATGGATAATTTTCTTTCTCCTCAAACATTTGTGTGAAGAACATAAAATCTGATACAAGTCACAATGTAATTAATCTATAGTCCTTATGCCTTTTGATGTATACCTATTAATAAAACATTGAATTTTTATTTTTTGATTAAAATATAAAATCCAAATTTCAAGGCCAAGGGGGATCTTGGGACTAATCACATCACTAGTTTTTAGCAGATCTGGAATTTGACAAATTTACCCAGAGTGAATAGACCCTAAAAAAATATAGATAATAAACTCAAATTCACAGGAGATTAATGTGTAGTATAAAAGTATGTGATTGTGTGAGAAACATAACTGCTAATTAGACCAGTATTAATATAGACCAATTATATATTTATTTTTCTACAGAAGAAGCCAAATTAAGACCAGAAATTTATTTTTATTTTTTTTATCTTCACCTGTGGATAACTTTTCCATTGCTTTTCAGAGGGAGGGAGGGAGAGAGAGAAAGAGAGAGAGAGAAACATCAATGTGAGAGAGACACATAGACTGGTTGCCCCACCCCATGCACCCTGTCAAAAATAAATGTAAAAATCAAAAGCAAATAACACTAGTAATGTTAGTAGAGATCTAATATGTTCTAAATCTAAAGAAAATCTTCTCTACTGGTTTACAAGTTCCTCATTCTCAATGTACAAAAACTAACCCTTTCTATTTTAAATATTTTGATTGTTTCAGAACCCAACATCTATTGGCATTCAACCTTATTTTTCCACCTCTGACTAGACACCAAGGAATAAAAGGTGACTAAACCAGTTATTATTTCCAAGCAGAAAGCAGGTATAATAAGAAATCATTTTAAACTCAACTGGTAAGAGCAGCAATTTCTTTAGGAGGAGGTCATTCTGAGGAAGGTGCTTAACCTAGCTTCAAAAAAAGTGATTACAAAGTTGAGGCATAAGATAAATTAGATTAACAGTTAATCACAAAAGGGCCATTTTAGTCAAAAGACTACTCAAGAGCAAAAGCATAAAAGAAAGAAAACAATTACAGTGTATATGCATAAGAATTAGTGGGTCTATTTTGGGGGAAGCAGAGAAACAAGAGACAAAAGTGGCAAGTGATGAGTAAATTAAAAGACCACCTCTGGATTTGAATTTTTTATGGAAATCATCGAAGGGTTTTAAATCAGGGCAGAGTACATAGGGTTAGATTAAAAGAGCAAGGGAGATGACATTGTAACATTTATATTTCAGAATATTCACCCTAATGGTCAGATTGATAATAGATTGGAAAGGCATAAGAGTGAAGGCAAAGTGGCCAGTTAGGCCATATGAAATAAGTGATGATGAGAACCTAATAGTGGGGCAGTGGTATTAGAGGTAAAACACAAGTGGCATATTTGAGGAATATTGGGGAAAGTGGTTTCCAATCTTATCTGCCCCTTAGAATAACAAATTTCCAGGCCCCACTCCCAGAGATTCTGATCTGATCCATCTAGGATAGTGTTAAAACTGCCCAGATGATCCTAATTACCAAGTGAGGCTGGAAACAGATTAGTTTAATTTAGTCACTGATAATTACATAAATATGAAAAGTGCAGAAAATGGAGGAGTCAAGAGTAATAGTCAATCTCCTAGCTTTACTGATAAAGATAACCTCAACAACCAGCATAGAGACTAACAAACAACAGACTATTTAGGGCCTTGGTCGGCAAACTGCAGCTCACAAGCCACATGCGGCTCTTTGGCCCCTTGAGTGTGGCTCTTCCACAAAATACCATGTGTGGGCGCGCATGTACAGTGCGATTGAAACTTCGTGGTCCATGGGCAGAAGTCGGTATTTTGTGGAAGAGCCACAATCAAAGGGCCAAAGAGCCGCATGTGGCTCGCGAGCCGCAGTTTGCCGACCACTGATTTAGGGGAAAGGGAGAATTAATTCTGTCTTTAAAAATAAAAAAAAATAAGGAATCTATCAAGTGAGCAGAAGGAAATCTTAGTTAGATGATTGGATATAAATGATTATGGTAATAGGTTTGGCAAAATTGACAGGTAATTCCTGAGACTTTCAGTCATGAAGGGAGATTATATGGGATAAGAAGAGCATAAAGTTTAGAGTTGAACCCTGAGCATCAAAATTCAAAGAAAAGCAGAGAAAAAAATAGATCACAAAAGCAATCAATTCAGTGTGGTATACTGGGGAGTACACCATTTCCATGGAGCAAACACAATTTTCCAATGTAGCAGAGGGGTTCAACAATAAAAAGAAAGGAAAATTGCACAACACATTGGAGTTAACAATTGAGAGATCATTTGTGACCTTACTGGAACAATGTCAATTGAAAAATGGGTTAAAAAGAATGGGAGATGAAGAACTGAAAAGTAGAGATTGTTGTGTTTTTGTTTTGTTTTGTTTTAAGAAATCTGTACAAGGATAAAGACAAGAATGTAGACAGTATCTATACATGACTGCAGAATCCAGTAGAGTTAGAAGGGCAATATTTTGGAATGAGAGAAATTTAAGCATATCCTATCTAATAAAAGAGAAACATGGCAATTGGCGTATGACCGCTACCCTTCCCATTGGCTAATCAGGGCAATAGGCAAATTAACTGCCAGCCAAGATTGTGGCCGGCAGCCAGGCAGCTTGAAACTAACATGAGGCTTGCTTGCTTCAGTGACGGAGGACTCCAACGTTTCCCGCCTGCCGCTGCAGGCCTCTGAGCTGCAACTCTAAGCAACTATGTAACAAATATAGAAGCTAAACAAAACCCCAGAAACCTGTTTTAGTCCGCTGGGCTTCAGCCAGCAGGATCGCAACATTGTAAGCAAAGGCCAGAATCCGCCGGGCTTCAGCCAGCAGGATCACAACATTGTAAGCAAAGGCCAGAAACCTACTTTCAGCAGCAGAGGCCTAAGAGCTGGAGCCAAGTCTCAAAGCTAAAGCTGGCCCAGAATAAAAAAAAAGAAAAAAGAAAAAAAGGAGCAGTTGGGAGCTTCAGTCACCCCCAGCCTGAAAACAGCCCTCAGCCCCTCACCCAGACTGGCCAGGCACCCCAGTGGGGACCCCCACCCTGAAGGATGTGTGACCAGCTGCAAACAGCCATCATCCCCTCACCTAGGCTGGCAAGGCATCCCAGTGGGGACCCCCACCCTGATCCAGGACACCCTTCAGGGAAAACCAGCTGGCACCCACCCGTGCACCCGGCCTCTACCGTATATAGTAAAAGGGTAATATGCCTCCCAGCACCGGGATCAGCGGAGCCGCGAGGCCTCCCGGCACCAAGATCAGCATGACAGGGGGCAGCACCCAAACCCCCTGATCGCCCTGCGGCTCTGTGTGTGACAGGGGGCAGGGCCATAACCTCCCTATCCACCCTGCTCTGTTCGTGACAGGGGAAGGTGCCCCAACCCCCTGATCAGCCCTGCTCTGTGCCTGATACGGGGGAGCTCCCCAACCCTCTGATTGCCCTGTAGCTCTGTGTGTGACAGGGTGCGGCGCCCCAACCCCCTGATCGGCCCTGCTCTGTGTGTGACAGGGTGCGGCACCCCAACCCCCACCCCCCACGGGCCCTGCTCTGTGTGTGACAGGGTAGAGCCATAACCTCCCCATCGGCCCTGCCCTGAGTATGACAGTGGCGGCGCCCCAACCCCCTGATCGGCCCTGCTCTGTGCATGTCAGGGGGCGGCGCCCCAACTCCCCAATCGGCCCTGCTCTGAGCCCGACCAGGGGCTGCACCTAGGGATTGGGCCTGCCCTCTGCCACCCGGGAGCAGGCCTAAGCCAGCAGGTCGTTATCTCCCGAGGAGTCCCAGACTGCGAGAGGGCACAGGCCAGGCTGAGGGGACCACCCCCCCCCCCCCTGAGTGCACAAATTTTTGTGCACCAGGCCTCTAGTGTGTATATAATAGGAGATACATTTTTAAAAAAGAGAAATTAAAGGGCATCTTATCCTATTAGAATAGAAATAAGAAAACCACTGAGAATAAAAAGGGGGGCATGGGAATATAAAAATAATATCTATAAAACTATATATATTTTTAACTATAAATACATTTCTAGAAGTGGTAAGAAGTCGAGAGTGATCATACTTGATGGTTCCCACCTCTACTAGATGTAGTAGACAAAACTATCTTCTCAAATGGAAGGGAACTTGAAGAGAGTAGTGAAGGTTTTGAGTTGAAGAAAGCCAAATGGACTAAGCAGAGAAAGATGAGAATACACTGGCACTTGGAACCATGAATCAGATAGTTGATGCCAAGTGGAAGAAATTGTAAATTTCTCTAATAGGGTGTTGGAGAAGTAAGATTGTAGCTTCAATACAGGTTTGTGTTTTTATTGAACAGGTGTTGCAGAAATACAAAAATGGAAGAAATCAAGGCTTTTGGTGAGAAAGTAGTTCTGATGATCAACTATAGGGCTCAAGATGGGTCAGTAAAGAAGAGATATTACATAGGAAAGAGGGTTATCTTTTTTAACATGGAGTCTTAATATGCTTCAGCCTACAAGAAGAGCCATGATATAATATCCAACCCTGAAAGAAAAGATTAGATTTGGTCATGCAAGTGTGCATGTGCTTGTGTAAAATTTTACATGGTTATGTATGGCATTACATATCATTAAATACACTCTCAAGTAGAGTCGATGTGTAGTTAAATATATATTTCTTTATTTTTTATTTCTTCTCTGCTTTCTTCTATAACACATTTCTAAGATTATGAATGCAATGGATACTTGTTGCAAAAATTCAAAAAAAATTTGAAAAATATGAAAGTGAAAATAAAAATTTCCCATATTTTTAGCACATGGAAATGATGACTATAAGTATTTAGTGTACTCCCAGTATTTTTATTGAATGTATTGGGGTGACATTGGTTAATAAAATTATACAAGTTTCAGGTGTACAATTCTACAATACATCATCTGTATATTGTATTGTGTGTTCACTACCCCAATAATTAAATATATTTAAATACTAATTTCTTTTACAGGATTTTTTCTTTTCCAGTTACCAGAGTGAAATATGAAATGAGATATTTTCTCATATTTGTTATAAAGACACTTAATTAACTTTGTATGTGCCCCTTTACACTAAGTGAAACAGTAATCATCTAAAAAAGAAAGTGGTCTTAGAAGATGACATACAGGACACACCAAGGATAACTTTCTGGACTACTACATGCCATTTTAATCTTTATCTATGAGTAAAGGATATATATTCATTAGTCAGATTCATTTCCAATACTGGGCCCTGCATGTCGAAGAATCAAAAAGGCCATTCATTAAGCCCCAGCTCTCTCATTCATCATCGAGAAGAATCAACAGTTTTAAGGCCATCACCAATGCCCTTGTCTCTGTCACCTGTCAGCATCTCGCAATAGGCATTTTAACAGATTTTGCCATTTATAAAGTAGATTTCTGATGTTTTCAATTAGGGCTGGCTGATCTGGGTATGACAGATATCATCTGATCACTTTTAGTGGTTTCCCCTTTTAGCAGTCCTTCTCACGTCACACTAGTAGCCTCCTACACATTTGGGTAAACAAGTGTACATGCATACACACACACACACACACACACACACACACACACACACACACACACACAAGCGCGCGTCTATGTGGCTCATCTGACCAAGCCTGCTTTACTTAACCAATCTCAAGTTTTTAGGACTCAGCTGTCTGTGCACTATAATGTTACATTTACTCACATTGCACATATTGTATTCAGATTGTATTCAAGTTTTGCAGGCAATCTTCTATTTTCTCTCTTCCCACTTCTCTCTTTTTTTCCTCTTCCTCTACCCCCAGTTGCCTGGTAGAAAAATTATGACAAGTTTTTCACATTGTAGGTATATATTTTTCCAAACAGTTGCATTATTCCAGGATAATAGATGTCTTCATTGGGTGATGTTTTATTAAGTGTCAGGCTTGGGTAGGCTTGAGGTTTTGGTTGTATGCACTCCTCTACCACCACATCAAACAACTCCCAGCAGGAAGTCACCTGCTTCACTTAAATGATACATTCTTTGGCCCCTGTCATGTTGTGTTTTTGTTTTGCCTATTGACAAGGAAAAAAGTGTCAATTTCCAACATTAAAAGGGAAGATCGGGAAGGCTTCATGATGCAATTTAATCTTTAGTATTAATTAAAAAGCAGATGTACGTTTTTAATACAATTTTATGACCAGCAAGCAAGGTTGAGGAGCAGAGACTTCAGTCAGGAGATAGATGCAGCTTACATTTCTATAATAATGAAAAGGGATAGTCACATGAATAATACTTAGGACATACAGATCAAAAGCTACAGTTGCATCTAAATATGAAAAAAAATGAATTTAAAAGTATAGGACAGCATTTTGGAAAGCATCCTCTGGGAAGGGGCTGAGGTGATAAATATAATTGATTTTCTACTCTTCCCCCCGCCCCCAATGCCTGCTCTCTAAATGACCTCTTTTCGATTTTCCATCTTACTCTCACAAGTCTCCAGAAGATTTCTGAGAAGGCAATCAAAATTATGAACATTGATCTTTTTAAATGTACATAAAATAGTAAATGAGGGGATTGTTTGAGTTGAATGTCAATAGCAGAGAGAGAGAGAGAATTAGCTACCACCTGCTAGAGTTAGTCAGTATTCTAAAGAAGCGTTAAAAATATTTAAAAAATTTTGCAGGGAAAATAACCACCTCAATTCTTCCCAGTTGCTAAATCTCTTTAGTCTTCTTTTCCCTTAGTTACAAATAAGTTTGTGAAAGAAAGAAAGAAAATCTGCTCATACCCTACAAGTCTCTTTTCTTTTTCTCCTTTCTTCCTTACTAGGTTTTTAAAGCATCAAATAATTCTACCGTTGCATCAATGTATATAAAGACTAGCCAGAAAGTCTTTGCTGTGGGTCAGGTGCAAAACAATTCTTGCATGAAATTAGATATTTCTTGGCAGAGCTAAAAATAACAAACTGCTTGAAATGCTATCATGGCTCATTGCAGCTTTCAAGTAAGCTTCTTTTCTCAGTTTCAATGTGGATGGCGTATCCTCTGCCTCTTAGCTGCAATGCATCAGCAAAGAGGACACATTTCCTCCTATCTGTGGGTATTGACAGAGAATTGCCACATGTTTTCTCAGGGTCTATTTAATGTTGGTAGGAAATAGATGTTATTGTGGAATTGAGACTGCCTATGCACAATTAAGCCACATTATTGATAGAAAGTGAGCAGGACTATGTTATGTATCTGGAGTTACCTTCATACACACTGTTAAATTGGCCTCTACTGGTTTATTCAACAGGTATTTGATATAAACACATAATTACAGTGCCTACTATAAAAGTAAAAAATAAATGGGTGTTTAATTTGGGCAAGAGAAGTGAGGGAGGAAGTAAGCTAGACTTTCAAGGATGTGGAATGAAGAAAGTATAACTCAAAGATTAGGGTTAAAAGTTGAGGAATGAGTGCACACAGGAAGCATAACAAATATTGAGGTTTATATGTCCAAGTGAAGGAAAAATATGACAGAAAGTTCACATTGAAAATGACAAAATTCAAAAGATAATGAAAACTGCCCTGGCCAGTTTTCTCAGAGGTTAGAGTGACGGCCAGTGGACCAAAGGTTATAGGTTTAATTCCTGGTCAAGGGCATGTACCTTGGTTGTGGGTGAGATCCCTGGCACCAGTTGGGGCGAGTGCAGGAGGCAACCAATCAATGTGTCTCTCTCACATTGATGTTTCTCTCTCTCTCTCTCTCTTCCCTATCCACCCTCCCTTCCACTCTGTCTGAAAATCAATGGAAAAAATATCCTCAGGTAAGGATTTCTTTTAAAAAGTAATGAAAACTACATTATAAGAAGTTTTAAATGATATAGTTTGGAGTTTATGCTAATTCAGTAGTCAAGGGGGATTTTAAGAGTTACTAACAAAGGTAAAGGTAAGCCCTGGCCAGTTAGGCTCAGTGGATAGAGCATCAGCCTGTCGACGGAAGGGTCTGAGGTTTGATTCCAGTCAAGGGCACATGCCTGGGTCGCCGGCTCGATCTTCACTAGGGGCCAATCCATGATTCTCTCTCGATGATGTTTCTATCTCTCTCCCTCCCTCTCCCTTCCTCTCTGAAATCAACAAAAATACATTTTTTTAAAAAGGGTAAAGGTAAAATAAAATGAGTTTTTGAGAGACATTTTTATTAGTATAGTGAACTATCTAACAATGTATAAAAATGATGAGACTAATAGCAAAAGCTCTTGTTAGGAGGCTGTTGACCTGATTTGGGTTGAGTAGTTTAGAATCTGGAATGATGTGGTAGCTTTAACAGTGGGAAGATATTAAAAGGATAGACATTAGACACACTTTAAAGAAGGATCATGACTTTGACTCTAATTGAATATGATTTTTAAAATAATTTAAAAAAATAACATTTATCTACTCATATATGTGTTTGATAAAAATAGAGAAATTAAGAAGGGAACAGACTTGATTTGAGATTAAAATGAGTTCATTTTTGCACACATGGGCTTAAGTGATAAAGTAGTCTTTTCATGTAGTTTCCCTTCTATGTCATAATGTCTAACAATATCTGGTTAAGTAATCATTAGTTTGATAGATGGGAAAACATCTTAGGGCAGGGGAAATCTCTGGATTAGGAAGATTCGGTGCTTCATAAACATACAACCCTGCAAAGCGAACAACAGACTTTTGTTAAACATACTAAGAAGAGATTCCATTCAGATGTAGGCACTTCTGACTGTGAAAAGAAAGCTCAGCTCTTCCTTGCTAAAAGCCAAAGTCTGTGTAGTCAGAGATACTTTAGTGACCTCAGTTCTACCACTTGGGATCACAGAGAAAAAATCTTCCTTTTGGTTGAAAGCCCTTCACAGTTTATTCATATTACAACATATAGCCCCAAACCTTCACAGTATATTAAAATGACAACATATATCCCAGAACCTTCTATTCTTTCCATTAAATTAGTTTCTTAAACTGGTCCTCAAGTCATTTGGTTTATATTTCTTTACTTTTTTTGTGTTTCTTCTCTGGCCATATTCTAATTTGTATCTGTTAAAATGTGATGCTCACTATGAACTTTAGGTGACTATGATGTGTCAATGCAGGTTTATCAAATGTACCACTGTGGTGAGGGATGTTGATAATGTGAAGTTATAATGCATGCATTGGGGCAGAAGGTATGGGGGCAATCTATGTACCTTTTTTTCAATGTTGCTGTGTACCTAAAACTGCTCTAAAAAATAAAGTCTTAACAAATCTGATGCTCAGTTAGGAATACTATTGCAGATATGGTCTCATTACAGAATATAGTTGGACTTGGTTATTTTATAGATTGTAAGTTTATTAAGGCAACCATCTATGCCATTAGTTGTAGTCTACCTGCTCATTTATTTGTTTAAACTCAAGCACATTTCATTCAAAGTGCTACTCAGCTATTTTTCACCCATCTTGTTGATTGAATAAATACTAGTAAATCTCACTATTCATCAGTTAAAACACGCACACACACATACACACACACCCACACTCTATGTAGAGATAGGATCATTTACCACACAGCAGTCCCCAATGCAAGAAAATTTCTCAAATACACCTTAAAGACTTTCTTTTGAGGATCAAAGGAAGAGGCTTCAAATCCACTTCAGATAATTTTTCTTACTGATTAAATTCAACATTTATGTAACACAAGACACCTGA